CTTCAGGAACCCAGCAGTGATTTTGAGCCTGGTGAAGAGTCGGGCGAAGCCGAAATTTCGGCCTCAGAAGCCCCGGCGAAAACCACAGGGCGCAATGCCAACAGCGCCGAAGATGATTCGTCAACACCGACACCTGCTCGTGGCCGTGGTACTCGGAGTCGCAGCATAAGGAAAACGCGCCGCTCGCAGCATGATTCTGGGGATGAAGTCGAGCTAGACAAAGACGAAATGGCAGAAGAGCTGGAGGAGTTGAGACAAAGCTCCCGCTCCCGGCCTCGTCGAACCCGCCGGCGATCTCCCTCGATCCAGTACGAGGAACGTACCTCCAAGAGACGTCGAACTGCAAAGCCGGTCGATTATACCATCCCGCCCATCGACCTTGCGGCACTTGAGGTGGATGAGGAGGAAGAGCCCTCACAGACTCCCGCCAGAGGCCGCAAAGGTGGGAAAAGTGGTGCTAGTCAAGCTTGGGAGCGCAATCTCAACAGCACTTATGGCCCATTTGGCGGTGGCGGCGGAGCCGGATCACTTTTTGCAGGCCCATGGGGCACTGGAGCTACCGGCGGCGTCGACTCGGATACCAGCGATGATGAGATGGTCCAGCGATCTGGTATCGGTGGCACCCTTGGTATGACACCAACATCAGCTGCACCACCTGTTGGCCTGTTTAACCCCCCGGCCCAGACCCACAATGCCGATGGTATTGGAGGTGCTGCCCCGAATGTTGGCAAAGTGAAGAACCAGAAAGCACTTGCCGATGCAGACCCCCTTGGTGTCGATCTGAACGTCGACTTTAGCAAGGTTGGTGGCCTGCAAGGTCACATCGACCAGCTCAAGGAGATGGTCCAGCTTCCTCTTCTCTACCCCGAGCTCTTCTTGAAGTTCCATGTCACACCACCTCGCGGCGTGCTCTTCCACGGCCCTCCTGGTACTGGTAAAACCCTTCTTGCCAGAGCTCTCGCGAACTCAGTTGGAACTGGAGGTCGCAAGATCAGTTTTTATATGCGAAAAGGAGCCGATGCCCTTAGCAAGTGGGTCGGCGAGGCAGAGAAGCAGCTGCGCCTACTCTTTGAAGAGGCCCGGCGAACACAGCCGAGCATCATCTTCTTTGATGAGATTGATGGCCTAGCTCCCGTGCGTTCAAGTAAGCAGGAACAAATCCATGCTAGTATTGTCTCGACTCTTCTCGCGTTGATGGACGGTATGGACGGCCGTGGCCAAGTTATTGTCATTGGTGCCACGAACCGACCGGACAATATCGATCCGGCTCTCCGACGTCCTGGCCGTTTCGACAGGGAGTTTTACTTCCCTTTGCCAGATATTGAAGGCCGCCGGTCTATCCTTGATATCCATACCAAGGACTGGGGTCTTTCGGACGAATTCAAGAATGCTCTGGCGGACAATACGAAAGGCTATGGTGGTGCTGATCTTCGAGCCCTCTGTACCGAGGCAGCACTCAACGCCATCCAAAGGACATATCCGCAAATCTACAGCTCAAAAGAGAAACTTATTGTGAACCCCGACCACATATCTGTCCACGCTACAGATTTCATGCTTTCTGTCAAAAAGATGATTCCCTCGTCCGAGCGTTCAGCCTCCTCGTCGGCCACGCCGATCCCGCGACCCGTTCAGCCCCTTCTACGGGACCAGTTTGAAGGTACTATCAAAATGTTGGACAATATCCTCCCGCGGCCAAAGAAAACCACGGCACTTCAAGAAGCGATGTATGAGCAATATCAGGATGCAGATCACGGCTTCGGAAGAGAGGCTATGCACCAGGACTTTGAACGGTCTCGAATCTTTCGTCCCCGCCTGCTCATCTGTGGTACGCCCGGAATGGGTCAGAATTATATGGCGGCTGCTTGTTTGCACTATCTGGAGGGTGTCCATGTTCAGAATTTCGACCTTGCAACCCTGCATGGCGATGGAAGGGTAGGAACCTCTCTAACCGCTTGCTTACACGAATCATGCTAACTTCAATTCAGCCATTGGAGCAAGTTATTGTGAGCCTCTTCACGGAGATAAGACGACACAAGCCTAGTGTGATATATATCCCCAATGTCGATGCTTGGTGGAGCAATCTGAACGACCTGGCGCTCTCAACGTTCACTACCATGCTCAAAAACATACCGCCCGCCGACCCGGTATTGCTCCTTGGCACCTCGGAGACCGCCCCGGAGTCTATGGATCCAGACCTACTTCGTGAGCTCTTTGGATTTTCCAAAAAGAACAGAGCCTTTGTCGAACGGCCAAATCGGGAAAACCGCATGGAGTTCTTCCAAAACATTGTTGCACATTTATGCAAGTCTCCCTCGGATTTCCCTGATCCTGCAGACCGGAAGAAGCGTGTCATCGAGGATCTCCCTGTGGCCCCGCCGCCACCCCCGAGGACACTCACAAAGGAGGAAATCAAGGTTCAGCGGAAGGCTGACCTACATCATCTCAACGTGCTGAAAATGCGGCTGCAACCAATCATGGACCAGATTCACCGCAAGTATCGCAAGTTCCGGCAGCCTGTCATTCCTTTTGCACAAATCGCATACTTGTTTGACGAATCAGACCCACACTTCGTACGACCGGATGTTGCTGAGGGCGAAACACGGCCTTTCGAGATTGCGAAGGACAAGGAGGGGACAGATGGAATAAGGGAGCTTGCCACTGGCAAGTTCTTTTACAACCTCGAGACTACCACGATCGAGGAGCGTCTAGCAAATGGCTATTATGCGCGACCAAATGATTTCTATAAGGACATCAACAGGCTTTATCTCGACGCCAAAAATGTCGGCGACCGCGATCGAACGCTCAAGGCTAACGAATTGCGCACCAACGTCGAGGTGGATATTCACGACATCGGACAGAGCCTTGCTAACCAGGGCATCCGGTTCGATGATATATACCAGCGGCAACTGCAGCGAGCCAAGGAGGAGGAAGAGAAGGCTCGTAAAAAGCAAGCGTTCCAACCTGTTGTCGGCTTGATCCAGTCCGATATGCCAGATGGCGACAGCGACTCTCAGGGCCCCGTCGGTATAGGGCTCCCGTTACCCCGAGGTCCGCGCACTACTGGCGCACGCTTCATGGTTATGAGCCCTAAATCCAGCCCTCATCCCCTCACAAATGGCACATCCGCGTCTTCTGGGCAAGGTGGCGATGATGTGGTTATGAGCGATGTCAACCAAGACACGCAGAGCCAGGCCAATGAGATGGGTCCGCCATTTCAATGGCAACGACCTGAGCCCCGGTCACTTGGCGATTCGACAAGAGCCACAGCTGGAACTCAAATGTCACAGCGCTCAGCTTTTACATCGGTGCCTCCTGGGGTATCTCCCTCCGCCATTCTGAATGATGCCTCTACTACCAAGACTTCTGATCCGTCGACAACCCGTGGCTCTGGAAATTGGAGCACCCAGCGCACGAATACCCAACATACCAATGGCCTTAACGGAAATGCGGATGAGCATTCGCAGCTTGTCGACACGCAGTCGCAGAACAGGATGTCTTTTCCTAGCCAGGGGACTTCAAGTGAGAAAGACTGGGCGCATTCGCAAGCCGCCGGCATAGCGCAAGGCATCTTACCCGCCCGTATGGGTATTCACTTCCCCGGCGGTGTTCTCAGCGACGAAAGCAGCCCGACGTCATCGCAAGCACCGCGAAAATCGGCCAATGTCACCAGCCTGGACAACATCCTGAATGATGATACCCCGACAACTACGACGACCACTACTAGCAGCAGTGGTCCGCTTACATCTCTACGCAACTCGGGGGTCTCGACAACCTCCTCGCAGCAACCCATCGTCCACGAGGGTCGCGTGCTTGAGTTCCATAACATGCTTGCCGACCGCACCTCTGGTTGCAGTGTCGAGCAGCTGGAGCAGATTAACCGCGAGTTAATGGATGAGATCTGGAAAACGCGCAGCGAGTGGAACCGCATGTCTGTACTCTCTACCCTCAACTCAGTCTTCAATGACACCATCGGCGACATTGAGTTTTTGCAAGGGAAGCTGAACCGCAGCCAGAGTATAACAACATCCCAAGAACAGGGAACGCAGCAGCTGCTGGAGGGAGTTGGTGAAGGATCGTCGGCCGAGTCTAGTACTCATGAGCCGCAGAAGAGAGAGGCTTTTGTGAGGTTGAGAGGCGATGCTGCTTGACGATGAGCGTCAGGTGCTAGTCGGTTGGGTACCTGGGGTGATGATGAACATCACCCTTTCCTTTTTATTTTACATATCTGTGTGGTAACGCTTTGCGTGGTTTCCTTTTATCGACCCCAGGGTATTGGGTTGGAGTCAGTGTCGGGATGGACAAGGCGGACGGACATAGAACAACGGCACCTTTATCCCACCCTAGGATTTGATGATGGATGGCTGCCCGCCTGGAATGGATGAAAAAAAAACTGGCTTGGAGGCGCAGCCATACATGGGCACAGGTTGCCCACTTCTTTAGGTACCTATCTATGTCAAGTTGAGATTTATTTTGCTCACCTCTCTTTTTCTTTTGTTATGTTTATGTGTCTGTGGTATGGTGATTTGGGCGGCTTTGGATGACTCGTTTTGGTCAATGGAACATGCTGCCCCTGGTCGGTCTGGTTCTCACCGTTACGTTAGAAGGCAGAAAGGGGCGGGGAGCATGAGAATGAGGAACGGAGGCACGGGCATTGTATACGTTGTGTCTTTTTATGTGTTACAACAGCCTATATATTTTCCAATGTTGGTCTTCAATAATGTGAATGCGGTGGCGGGAGTGAGCGAACGACTTTACATATACTGTATGTAGTAAGTCTATGATAGGGGTTCATCGGGTGAGAGACGACCAAATTTTGTCTCGACAACATTTCAACTTAGTATGTTGGGCACACCCACAGAGCATTATTAGCATCTGCCACTGTAGGAAAAACACACGCCTGTTCCAAGTATGCTAACATACGCAATCCATGTGTTGCATAACCCAAAAGTGAGAACACGAGATCAACGGTAAAAATAATCACCTTCACCGGGAATTGATCCCGACGGGGGGGGGAGAGGGGTCGAATCCCTAATCTTGAGATACCTGACCTGCTTGAGAGTCGTAAGAGCCTCACGCTCTACCAATTGAGCTAGCCGGGCTGTTTGTTTGCTAATTGTTGAAAGTATGGACTGGTTGTGTGGGCTGTATACTGCCGGTGTCCACTGAGAGGCCTAAGAGATGAAGAATTTTCTCGGGGCTCTAATTATGTTTGTCAAAGGTTTGGGTCATGAGTCAATCAAGGGGCGGGATGTCTCGAGTGGGCCAGGGACGGTGCAAAGGCAAATAGCAAAAGGTTCTGGACATATGTGCTGGCGCTCCTTATCAAAATCAACAGAGGCATTGCAAAACACCAAAACACAATGGCTCACGAAGAAGTAATTAACGCATCTATATGTTTACCAAACTCCATACATAATTACAATAAAAAAACCAGTACATTTCCAAATCATAACCTCCAGCCCTTCCTTTTTGACATCTTTGTGACACCCATGAAATGTCCACTCATCAAGCAGTGACCTCAGCGAACCAAGTGCGCAACAGCGCCGCCAACGCGCCCGGTAGATCCTCCAGATGATGCACAATGAGGTAGTACGGGAAGGGAAAAGAATCAAGATAGCGGTGAATCACCGGCATCCCATCCGACCCGAAGCGTGCCTCCTTGAGTTCGAGCACGCTATGGCCCTTCTTGTTCTGCGCCGCATCATCCATGACAATGAACACGACCATGACGCGCTGTTCCATAGCTTCGCGAAGCAGTGGCCGCAGGCGCGCGTGATCCTTGGACTGCACCAGTCCATCGGAAAGAATCAATGCCAATTGCCAGAGATCCTCGCCACCCGAGCTTCCGGTTTGCATCAGGCGGGCGTCGCGGAAGTGGTCAATCGTATTCCGCAGAAGACGGCACATGTCAGTCATCTCCTGGCGGAAGGTGAAGTGCTGCAGCATGCGCGCGCCGGCATCGTGTGATGCGAATAGGGGCGCCGTCAGCTCGTGCGCAACGAAGACGTCAGAGCCGAAGCCCATCACACCGACTTGGCCAACCTCAAGCATGGTCAGAGCGCGTGCCACCATGACAAGCGACTCGAGAGCGAGCCGACCAGAAGAGGATGAGTTGTCACCCATACTGCTGCTGTCGTCGACGCAGAGCAGGATCTGGTAAGATCTTTTGCTGGGGATGCTACGACGCATCCAAATCTTGTCGCGCTTGTAACTCGAAGCAATGTACGGGATGATCTTCTTGATGTTGAGCCGCTTTCCGGTGCGGAAGGAGCCTGAGAGCTTGGTTGATTGAGATGGCGTAAGGATCAAACGGAGTTGCGAGGATAGTGACAGTGAGAGGGAATGTGTCTTTGTCTGGAAGGCTGTCCACATGTCGAGGGCCTCCGAGAAATCTCGCAGCGTCTTGTCACTTTCATTGAGGTGTGTGGCAGAAAGCTGAGTCGAGGTCTCCTCCACCTTGTCATCCTCCTCATCTGCCTCTGCCTCCGTCCTTGGTACTGCATCCTCTTCTTCGTCCAGAGCTCCTTGTCGTGTGGCAACACCAGAGCGGCCATCCTCGCGATCCGTTTTCGGGCCATCACGCGGCTCAGTCAGGTCCATGTCCTCCATCTCGACGTCTTGCTTGTTTTCGTCTTCTGGGGCATCATCAACCAGAGCTGGGCCTTGATCACTATCCATTTCATCATCAATAGCCATGGCATCATCCATAGGGCGGACCTCCTCGTCCGTGGCAGTGCCTAGGGCTTGCGCATCGGCCTCGGCATTGTCGTCTTGGAGGTGTTGGAACTCGGTCTTCGCCATTTCATTTGGTGTGTTGTCCATCTTCTCTTGACTCTCTGTGGGTTTCTGGATATCGCGTTGGCTCTTGTACCATCGCTCGAGTGCGTCCCCGAGTTTCTTGAAAGGCTGGGCTTCGTTCGCATTAGCTGCATCTGGGTCGCCAGAGGGCACTTGGTCTTGATCTGCCCGCGAGAGGGCACCCTTTTCTCCAGGCGCGGCGTTATCCTTGTCTGCCGCTTGCTGGCCAATTGCTCCTTGATCTTGCTGGGCGGCCTTGTTCTCGGATTGCTCCTCCGTGTTCTTGTCGTTGTCCTCAACCTGGCCTCCGCCAGTTTGAACGTTGCTAGGAGCCGCGTTGTCCTGATCCGCCACTGCCTGGTCGTCGGGCAGCTGAGGCCTATCGGGCTTGTTCTCTTCATCACCCTGCTGTTGATCCACCTCTTCCATCTCCTTCTCTTTGTCCATATCGCCAACATCCATCTCTTCCTTGCCAGGAGCATTTACATCCTCCTCGGCGTCCTCCTCCATGTTGTCTTCGTCCTGCTGAGCCTCGCCGGTGTGCTGCTCCTCATCCCCGCTCTCCGACCCCTCTTTCTCCTTCTCATCAAGCTTGTCAAGGTCCTCGACATCAGACAAGTCGGACAGATTATCATCCTCCCCTGACACAGACTCATCGTCAATGTCAATCACCATATCCTCTGGCAGCGCCAGCGTGTCATTGTCGGGCACGTTCTGGTCTTGATGATTGAGGTCTTCCTGTGGCGCCGCCTCTTGCTCCGCAGCAGGATCTCCCTCAACCTCGTCGGCTTCCTCCCCCTTTTCACCACTATCCTCCGGCTTGGTTTCTTTATTGTCCCGGGGCTGATCCTTCTTGTTGTCGGACTCTTCAGCCGCATTCTGCTCGTTCTCATCCTTCTCCCCCTTCGAATTGTCGCCCTTCTGGTCCTTGTCTGCATCATCCTCACCGCTCCCGTCCCACATCTTCTCATCAACGGCCGTGGGATCCAGATCATCCACATCACCCGCCTCATCCTCCCTGTCGGAATCGTCTCCATCTTCGTCTCCTGACTTGTCACCTTCCTCCTCATCATCGTCACCACCAACGCTCCCCATCTCTCCTTCCAACTCATCCTCACCCATGTCAACAGCGTCCTTGTTGTCCTCGATATCAGTCTTTGTCTTGTTATTAGGATCTTGCGCGAGGTCCGAAAGGTCCTCATCCGCCTTGATATCCTTGCTGATATCCTCGGCACCGTCACCGTCACCCAGCCCGGTACCACTCTCAACCTGTCCAGAGTCTCCGGACTTCTCTTCGCTCTTCTTCTGAGGACCGCAGAAACCCTGCGCTGCGATCTGAACAAATGAGTTGCTCAGAGTATATCCCATCCTACAAGTCGCCCTGTGCAGCTCAGCGAACTGCACGACATTGTGTCGGCATGCCGCCGCGTACTGCTCTAGAACTGGGAGCACTACGCGCAGTAAGACAACCGCCGGGTGGCGGATGGCGGGCTGGCCAATGTCCAAGCCCTTGAGCTGCTGGAGAAGCCCATCGACCGCCTCTCCGATCTTTTGCATGCTGAGGGAATCGATCGACTTATCAAGACCGTCGCTGTACTTGAGGAACCAGCTTGTCTCTTCTGTGGTTGTGGGTAGGGTCTGGGTCGCTTTTTGGAAGTTCTGGAGAGCAACGAGAACCTTGCTCGAGAGTGTCAAGACTGAGTTCGTGAAATCATCGGGGTTACTGCATTCGTGAACGCCATTACCGGCGCCGATAATCCGCGTGTTGGTCCAGAGACTGATCTGCTGGATGATAAAAGCTATGTCAGGCCTACCCTGCTGCATGGCAACAAGAGAGTATTGGAGACTCTCAAGTTCCCGTTCCACCTCTCCTTGAAGTTTTTCATAGCCAGATGAGCCGAAACCAATCGGAAGATGAGGCAGGTTCTCCTGAGCAGTACCCAGTGCGGCGAATGTATCCAGCCACTTGCTGAGCTCGCGGGTGATAGCATAGTTGTCCGCGTTCCCGAGCTTTCCATGAACCTCAATGAGGTGAATTCCGAACCTGAGCATCTGAACCAACCAGCGGATGACCTGGGTGTAGTTTGTCAACACCTTTTGTGGCCCAAAGTCCCTGCCATCATCACCATGAGAAAGCTCCTTGACGAACGTGATGGATTGCTCGAGTGAGTTCGCCGCTCCGGCGCTCCTTGAAAGAGACTGGCGCTGGCGGATCATGACGTACAAAACACCCTCTAGATACCCAATGCTTCGAGCAACGAGTTCGCGATTGAGATCATCGGAGTGGTCTAGTGCTGCTTGTCGACAGCGAGGGGCGAGGTCCAATGTTTTGTGGTAGAAATACTCGATGGCATCTAGCGAGGAACTGGCTAGAGGCACGAGGCCGGAATCGACCAATATCAGCTGCGTTGTGCTCTGCCGCCCAAGCTTGTTGGTTCCAAGATTCCGGCTGAAACCCATCCCGCGGATTGTCTTGAGGGTGTCGTTGTAGAGCAACGTCTTCCGCGTTTTAAGATGGAGGATCAGCTTCTTGGTCTCATCTGTCAGTTCGCTCGGCGTTTCCTTGCGCAGGGCGGCAATGGATACCACGAGATCGGTGATGTATTCATCTACCGTGTCGGCAGCGTTAACTGATTCGGCCGATAGCGAACCATACTTTGTCATGGCCTTAAGGACAGCATCCAAGTTGGTCATACGCGCCCACTGAGGCAGGCTTTGGATATCTGGAATGAGTGTCTCACACAGTGCCACTGCCTCCTTGTCGGCTCGGAGCTCAGACAGAATTGGCTGCGAGGCCACGATTAAGTGCTCCTCGTCTGGGAGGCCTTGTTCCATGATAGCCTTGACAGGCTGCTCCAATACAGCGCGGAACTTGCGGACAAGCTTGAAAAGCTTCTGATGCGACTTGCGGGCGCTGTCTCTGAGCGATTCGATGTTCTTGTCCCTCCATCTGAACATCAACAGCACGTCCTTCATCTTTCTATCCAGGGGTGCCCTGCCGGTGCGGATAGTATCACTGACCTTGCCCTGGTAACGGCTATAGTAGTTGATGAAGTTCTGGACTGCATCGCCAATTGTGGATAGCGCGGGTTGTTTCGGTGCAAGCATGTCGAGCTGGCTCTTGAGCTGGCGAAGTAGGTTGAAACGCGAGGCAAATTGCCCGACACTCGCACTCAAAAAGTACGTCTCGAGAATTCTCAGCAGACCAACGGCATGGTCTTTGAGGTCTTGGCCCTGTTGGAGGATCGAACACGGCTCAAGAATAACCGCGCCATAGGCAATGAACCACCACGCTTTGGCG